CACACACACTCAATATACTTCAGTTATGCCTATAGACCTACACTGAGTTAAAAATTAATACAAAAGGGGTGAATATAAATCTATTCACTCTTGATTGGGAGGGAGCCAGAAATCTGGGTTCTTTTTCTAACTTTGGCACTTAATTATATTACCCTGTACTAGTTAGATACTCGCTAACTCAAACACGGTATAAATTTTTAAATCTATTCTAAATCTGAGAGGTTCAATGCAATAGACACTATCCATATTTTACTATTGAGCATCTGAAATGTGGCTAGTGCGGCTGATGAACAGAATTTTATTAATTGCTGTTAAATTTATTGAGATGACATTGGTTAAAAAATTATATAGGTTTCAGGTATAAAATTATAATATATTATATGTATATTATATTGTGTGCTCACCACCTTAAGTCAAGTCTCCTTCCATCATTATATAGCCCCCCTTTATCTTCTTCTATCTCCTCCCCACCCCTTTGGTAATCACCAGACTGTGTTGTCTATGAGGTGTTTTTTTCTTTGCTTAATCCCTTCAACTTTCTCACCAAGCTTCCTAATCCCCCTCCCTTCTGATAGCTGTCAGTCTGTTCTCAGTACCCATGAGTCTGAAAACAGACTCCTTTTGCTATTATTCAACATCATTAAAATATCCATAATTTTGTTGATGGTTTCTTTTGTTAGTTTGTTTTATTCATTACATTCCATATATAAGTGAAATCATATGGTACTTTCTTTCTCTGACTAATTTCACTAAGCATAATATTCTCCAGGTCCATCCATGCTGTCACAAAAGGCTTCTTTTTTAGAGCTGTGTAGTATTTCATTGTGTAAATGTACCACAAAAAATGTAATTTTATTTAATGAACTTATATTTAATTTTATTTCTTTTAATATATCTTTATTGTTAAAAGTATAACAGACATCCCTTTTGTTTGTTCTTTTTTTCCCCATGGACCACCGCCACCCTGCAACAGCCTCTCTCAGGCCTTCACCACTCTATTGTCTGTGTCCATGAGCTATTATATATGCATATAAGTTCCCGGTTAATCACTCCCCACACACCCACACACCACCGCCATTAACTAAAATTTGTCAGCCTGGATCTATTTTGTTCATTAGATGCCACATATGAGTGAGATAATGTTATAATAATCATTCTCTGACTGGATTATTTTGCTTAGAATAATACTCTCCAGGTCCATCCATGCTGTTGCAAATGGTAAGAGTTCTTTCTTTTTTATAGCTGCATAGTATTCCATTGTGTAAATATACCAATGTTTTTTAATCCACTCATCTGATGATGGGCACTTGGACTGTTTCCAAATTTTAGCTATTGTAAATTGTGCTGCTATGAACATAGAAGTGCATATATGCTTTCTGATTGGTGTTTCTGGTTTCTTAGGATATATTTCTAGAAGTGGAATCACTTAATTTTTTGAGGAAACACCATACTGTTTTCCTCAGTGGCTGTACCAGTCTGCATTCCTACCAGCAGTGCACTAGAGTTCCCTTGTCTCCACATCCTCACCAACACTTGTCCTTTGTTGATTTGTTGATGATAGTCATTCTGACAGGTGTGAGGTGATCCCTCATTGTCATTTTAATTTGCTTATATCAGCAGCTTAGTGACTTTGACCATTTTTTCATATGTCTCTTGACCTTCTGTTTGTCCACTTTGTAGAAGTGTCTATACAGGTCCATTGCCCATTTTTTAATTGGATTGTTTGTCTTCCTTTTGTTAATTTGCATGAGTTCCTTATATATTTTGGAAATTAGCCCCTTATTGGGTGTACCATTGCTAAATAGGATCTTGCATGTAGTGGGCTCTCTTTTCATTCTGTTCATGGTTTCTTTTACTGTGAAGAAGCTTTTTATTTTGATGTAGTTCCATCTGTTTATTTTCCCCTTAGTTTCATTTGCCCTAGGACAGTGGTCAGCAAACTGCAGCTCGCGAGCCACGTGCAGCTCTTTGGCCCCTTGAGTGTGGCCATGAAGTTTCAATCGCACTGTACATGGGCGCCCGCACATGGTATTTTGTGGAAGAGCCACACTCAAGGGGCCGCAGTTTGCTGACCACTGCCCTAGGAGATGTATTGGTAAACATATTGGTAGGAAAGATGTCTGCGGTTTTGCTGCTTATGGTTTCTTCTAATAATTTTATGGTATCATGACTTACTTTATTTTTTTTTACCTATTAGAATTTTTATTATCCAAAAGACAAGAAATAACAAGTGTCAGGGAGGAGGTGGAGAGTGTCAGTGAGATTATAAATTGATGCAGCCACTATGCAAAACAACATGGAGGTTCCTTAAAAATTTAAGAATATATCTACATATGTTCCACCAAATCTTACTTCTGGGTATTTTTCCAAAGAATATGAAAATACTTTGAAAATATATTATGTGCCTCTATGTTCATCTCATCATTATTTACTACAGCCAAGATATAGAAATAACCAAACAATGGATGAACGGCTAAAGAAGATATGGTCTATCTATCTGTCTGTCTGTCAGTTTGTCAGTCTGTCTGTCTATTTATATAGACATATAAATGGATACATATACATAATTTCCTTATATGATTATATAATAATTTAAGTGCTGGGGTCCAACCCCAGCAGGTCCAGGGGTCCCCAAAGGTGTGGACGGAGTCGGCGAAGAAGGAATGACATGGAGACAGCGTTCAGTTGATCAGCAGCCTAGCCAGGATCTCTAGCCAAGTTCTGGTTAGGATCTCCAGCGAAGTTCTGGTCAGGATCTCCAGCCAGGTTCTGTGTCCATGTTCTCTTGCTAGGTTCTCCAGCCAGGTTCTCCAGGTTCTCCAGGTTCTCCAGCCAGGTTCTGTAGCCATGTTCTAGTCAGGTTCTGTAGCCATGTTCTATCCAGGTTCTGTAGCCAGGTTCTGTCTCTATGATCTTCAGTCAGGTTCTCTCGCTAGGTTCTGTCTCTAGGTTCTGTTGCCAGTTTCTGTCCAGGATCTTTTGCCATTTTCTGTCTCTAGGTTCTGTCTCTAGGTTCTGTCTCCAGTTTCTGTCCAGGATCTTTCTCCATGTTCTCTCCAGCAAAGTTCTTCTGTCTCTAGGTTCTGTGTAGGTTCTGTGTCTAGGTTCTGTCTTCTAAGTTCTGTCTCCTGTTGTCTTGTTACATCTGTATTTATACCAGTTGATTCAATCCTATCAATCTCTATTCCAAAGGTTAGGGCATTTCTTATCTCCATTCCAGGGAGTAAAGATTATGTAGCTTAAGCATGATTGTTCGTAGTTAAAGTGATTAACTACCCGCCTGGCACTTAGTTAAGGGGTTTTATTCCCTCCCTAACTTCGGGGGGAAATCCTTACCTGGGGAAACAACCTTTCTCGGAGAGGTGACCTTGGTTAAAACACATAGTGCCAAGAAGGTGAGCAAACATATTAAGAACAGTATGCCATATATGCCAGGTCCCTTGAAACAGCAAGGATGGACCGGCTCCCGGCAGGGAAGGACAGAGAAGTAACACAGGGTATCCCCTCTCTTCCATGGCTGCTGTGGTGCCATGTTGAAGGTGAAAGACGTAGTTCCTTTTTCTTTCTTTCCTCACCTGAGTATGAACTACCATTCTACCATAGCTTAAGATAGCTATAACAGTCCAGACTAGAGAGGAAGTGATAGCTAACCTCTCTCTCCCTTATGAACTTTCCTCTAGATCTCTGGGGACATATATTTAGTTGAAGAAATTTTAGTCATAATGTCCCTTTAGTTAGTAAAACTCCCCAGAGATGATTAAAGTGTCTGGTCTTGGATCCAAATATTATCTACCCCTTTGATTTGGTTTGTTGGCCTTTTCCTCCAACCACTACCACAACCAAGAACTCTATGAACAAAGATGAATATTTCAGAAACCTTAGAGCCCTGGTGTCAGGTTGGGTGTGAGATAACGCTGGTATCTGCAGATGCAGACACTAGATAAATGGCTTTGTCCCTGCAGCATGTAACAGGCCAAAGGGCTGTTACTGGGCTCATGTTTTACTGAGTACAATCAAGTTAGTTATTAATTATCCAGACATGTTTTTGAAGTGTTAAAATTAGCATAAATATGCCTATCCCCATATAGACCATCTTATCCTATATAATAAAACCCTAATATGCAAATCAACCGAACAGTGGAACTACCAGTCGCTATGATGTGCACTGACCACAGGGGCAGACACTCAGTGCAGGAGCTGCCCCTTGGAGGTCAGTACACTCCCACAGGGGGAGCGCTGCTCAGCCAGAAGCAGGGCTCATGGCAGTGTGGAGAGAGAGCCTATGCCAGCAGGCGGACATCCCCTGAGGGGTCCTGGACTGTGAAAGGGCTCAGGCTGGGCTGAGGGACTCCCCCCCCCCCCCCACAATGCACAAATGTCATGCACCGGGCCTCTAGTATAATATAACTCAATATAATTGATGTAAACAACTCACATCAGGGTCTCTTCATTTGGTTCACAACATCAAGATGCTACACCAAACTCAAATCAGCATGTAGCATATTGTCATGTCCCTATCTTCCAGAAGCCATACAGAGCATCTCATAGCTCTAACAACACCCCAGAGCCTAGCCAAAGGTCAAGAGCATTATCCTAGCTTCCAAAATCCTAACATAGAACCACTGAAAGCAAGCCCAAACATTCCAGACTATTCTCAGTGTGACAGAAAACAAACCACTTTTAATTCAGTGGAGGCAATGTATTGTCATGGGGATTTCAGAAAACCAAGCTCAAACTAAGGCAGTTATTTTCCAGGACATAAGGCACCAGAAAAGAAAAGCCTTTTTAGAATGTGGACAGAGCCATGAGTGTCAAAAAGGAGGGAGGGAGAGAAAGAGAGAATTAATTTATCTTGCTTAAGATCAAGTTTCACATAATGACAAATTACTATATACTGGTAGGATTATCTTTCTCCGCCTACAAATAGTCTAACCACCCCCAAGTCATAAAAGTCAGAGAGAACTAAGCTGGACAGAATATATTCCTTCCTGCTTCCCATCTCAGAGCAGCTGTGTGATTTCCTGAAGATTCTGTTGCTGGAGCTAGGGATAAAAGCTCATTTACCCACAAAATAACCTGCAAGTCTCCAGTTTCTGTTCTTCTTCCCTCCCCCTTCTTTCCCCTCCCCCATTTGGCACCAGAGAAGTAAAACTTAGGCGTACTTAAAACAGTTTGAAAACTAATCTGAAAGAGGAAGAAGAATCTGTATACATTGGCTGACATGTGCTCTACCCTCTCTGATCTTAAAAACAACAGCAACCCATCTTTTCAAAGAAACTTGCCTAAAGAGCAGGCATCCTGTGAATGAACTGCGCTTGTCTAGATTATTTAGATTCACTGTGGAGATCACCAATGACGGCTTAGCTTTCCAAGAAACAGGTAGATTGGATTTACTGAAGACTTGGAGTTTGCTTCTGAGAGTGAGTTCAAAAGGACCCTGAAGTGTCAACCTTGAACATAGCAGGTAAGGATATTCAATGTTTCATTGCTAGGACTAGAACTGTATGTAGTAAATTTCTATTGATTTCAACAAATTTCTGGGAGTTTGGGGATCTACCCTACCTGCCTTAAATTAGGCTGCCAGTATGAATTGAATTCTTTCTGCCTTTTTTATTGGTCAGGGACTTGATAATCCAATCAGTCTTCTCAGTGCTTCTGTTAGGTAGGGGCTCAATGCAGCAAAATACAGTGAATACATTCCCCCAGCCTCCAGCACCTGTGCAATTAAGTTGGAAATGTGGGGCATATTTTAAAATCCTATTTTAAGGCCTTAATGGAGTTTCTCTAATCTGTAGTGGCAGTTTCCTTCACTATTGAAAGAAAATTTATAATGACTGCTGAAGGTAAACCAGTGAAGAATTATCTGGTAGTTCAACATTAATTATACCACTTGAACCTCTCAATATTCTGCAATTTAGATGGGGTAAGTGTTACTATCCCTGTTTTGAAAAATAAGGAAATAGACTCAGAGAGGCTAAGAAATAATCTGTAAACATACCACATAACTAGAAATTGGCAAGTTATGACTACAGACTGAAAATAGAAAGCTCTCAGAACTATAAGGAAATTGCATGGTCTATTTAGTATCTTAGACATATCTGACATAAACCAGGTTTACAGAGCCAACACTTCATACATTTTAATTAAAATCATTGGCCAGGCACATTCTTCGACTTAGCAGCAAAGAAGCTGTTTTCAGGGGTAAAGAAATGGTTTGTGGGTTCCATCAGTAGCTAAAAAAAGAAAAGTCCTAGAATTTTTAATTCCATTTTTCTGCCTTCCAGTGATCTGATTGCTTTGAAATCCAGAGAGAGGCCATGACACCATATATTTATCAGGTGATTATTCAAAAACAAAATATAGCTAAACCTGGACTTGAGACTGCACTGTATGCCCATCAGTTCCTGCAAATAAAATAAACCAGCCTGGGAGCCAGTGAGCCCCAAAAGAATGGTAGGCTAAAGAAAGTTTGCTGGTTAAGTCCAGTCAATCCAGCGTTTCTGTGTCTTCCTAATGTAGAACTACCAATTTCATATTCTAGTACCTTTTTCCTCCTGCCTTTAATCAAACTTTTGATGTGTTTAGAAACTAGTTATCAGGAATAAAATCAAGATTTTTTTCCACAGTGCAGGAAATTATAAATCTGCCTTTGCTGCATCATTGGTGATAATAAGGAATTAAGCAGGGGTGGGGAACGTCTGGCCTGCGGTCCTTTTAAGGCCTGCAAAATCATTTAGTCTGACCCTGCCAAGGTATTAGGGGTGAGTTAATTAAATGTTTAATCAAATATAGCCAGCTAATTTTTAAGTTGATAATTTTGTATGGCCTGTGAATGATGCTATAAACATCCAAATGGCCCTTGGCAGAAAAAAAGATCCCCCATCCCTGGATTAAGGAAATGGCAATGATTTCCTTAAGGTACATATCCAACCTTGTGCATTTAATGTCATGGAAGAAAGCTATCATAATCTCCCAAAAAATATAGCTCTGCGTGGACTACTACTTTGACCCATTTTGCTATTTCTTATGTTCTTATGAAAATATCTCAAATACATTGCAATCCAGTAAATAAGTATTGGTTAAGCTCAATACAGTTTGTGGCACAGAGCAAGGTAAATGGTAGTTCCTGCCTTTGAGGAACTTACTGTTGTACCTGCAGGGTACGCCAAGGAGCCTGATCTGTTACGTAAAAGGATTGAGTTGAAGAATAACAGGAAATGAATTTGGATAGAAATTTAAGACAAGATTATTAGACATTGAATTCCAGGCACTTTTTAATGGGAAATCTTATTAGCAAACTTTGAATAAGTGATGAAAAACATTTTAAGAATATGAATCTGACAGAGTTTCATAGTTCTGACTACACCTTGAGAAAAATGGAGATGGGAGTAAAATTTAATGAAGCTCTAGGCTAGGTTGATAGCAGTGGAAATTGACTTTATAAGAACTCAAGAAACATTTAAAAGGAATAATAGATGGAAGTAGGTGAATGATTAGATAAGGCAGCATAAGAAAGAAATAAGTCAATAATATCTCTGAAATTTTGAACCTGTGATCTCTGTGATGCTACTGCTATTCCTAGAATTAGGTAATTTGGGGATATAAATGGGGAGTGTAGAACATGCTTAGTTCTGTTTTGACCTATTGAGTTTGAGGAGATGGCAAAAATTCCAAGAAACAATGTCTTATGGATGGTTGGAAATAATGGCCCTGAATGTAAGTAATGGGTAAGAGGTACAGGCCAAAGTTAAATCTGGGGAGTATGATTGATAGCCAATGCCATAAAAATGGCTCAACTTAGAGAAAGTAAACCTAAGAGATGACCAAGGACTGAAATTTGTGCAGTTTCTACATTTTCAAGCCAGAGGAAGAAGAGGGTCTTCAGAAATAAGAACCACAGAAATGTTATAGGCACCCCAAAACACCAGAAAAGGTGTTATCTGACAGCCCCTGTGAGTTGGAGGGGGAGGGCTGTCCCCTCCTTGGTTCTTGTCAGTCTTGCATTAAAGACTTCAAACAAGTGATAGCAAATGATTTCTTTATAACAAAGCAAATTTATTAAAGAAGCAAAGCAAGCAAATTTATCAAAATATACCTGCCCTATAAGGTGCAGATTGACTTCCCAACTAATTTGGAAGTCCCCACCTGATAGAGGTTTAATATTTTATTCCTTTTGTTTATAGGTTTTAAAATTCCTTTGCCGGATATTTTGGTACAGATTAATTCTCAAGGTGCCATTTTACTTTGCTGTGGCCTTCCCAGAATTCATGAGAAGCACTTGGCAACTTTATCTTGCCAAGCCATGAGACTGCTGGCTTTTCTCTTTAGGAAGTAAAATAAAACTGCCCTTTTTCCTTTCCCCTTAGCCCCTCCTTTCCTGTATTCTCTAATTGAGGAGGCTTTAACCATTTGCCTTCAGTGTCCTTGGTTTCGGGAAGATAATGACTTGTTATTTACAAGCCAACTGCAGCTGTCCAAATTGTTTAGCTTGTTTAATTTCCTTGTCTCTGTTTCCTATTCCATCCACTTATTTAGGAATTTTCCTAGTTTCTCACTATTCTGGTACAGAAATACAATTCTTCTCAAAAGATAACAAGCGTCTTGAGAGAAGGTATCAAGTTATTTATTCTTTTAAATTTTCCCTTCCCAACAATAACTAGCATCATGCTTTACCAACACTGTGAACACTCAATAAATATTAAGTTACTCTAACATAAGCAAACATGGAGAATTTTTGCTTCAAGCAATCTTCTAGTTTCAACTCTATCAAAAACTCTGCAACTTAACAACGGCTGCTCTAAACTACCTTGCTGCTCAGGTTTCAGTGGAAAGGAAACAGCCTGGATAGCTGGGAGTTCATTCTACTTTTGTTTTGTAATCAGCTATGTGGTCTTTAGCAAATTACTAAGCATCAGTTTTTCTTGGTTTCCTCATGTACCAAATGTAGTAATGAGCTTATAGGAATATTTTAGATGATTAAAATAATAAATACAAATATGAAAGCAACTTGAAAATATAAACCACCTTACAAAAGGGTTTTGTTTAAAGTCCATTCCAAGTTAATAAAATACACAACAAATTTGATAGCATATGGAGGGAGTAGGGCCAGTTACTTTCTGCTTACAACACTATAGCTCTAGACCAGGAGCCTCACTCTAAGTATCAGCAATGCCATCCAACTCCTTGGACATGTCAGTAGGAGCCAGCCCTCTGGTAACCACTAACTTTACAATACCTGAATTTTATTTACCTATTATTTATTTATTTTTAATGTTTTATTGATTTTAGAGAGAGAGGAATAAAATATTTAAGAGTAGTATTTAAGAAGTATTTCTGTGAAAACACTATCCATATTTATTCATTAGCTATTACTTCTATTATGTCCATGGTTCTCAGGATTACATCGTAAGGTTCAAAACAATTTTTACATCAGGTTCTGAGTGTAACACAATATTTCACTGCTCTGTCCTAAAGCCACTTGTCCAACCACCAATTTGTTTATAATACAAATCAGGTTCCCAGAATATACAGGTAAGTAAAGTGCATGTGTATCTCCATAAAATATAAAGACCTAAAGTCATTTTTATCCCTCAAACCAATGTTATTTGGGTTTCAGGCTACATAGATGTCTACAAGGTATAATTTGAAAGCCAGTGAGAAACATTTCCAGTTCAACAGGATGAGCAAACGTCCAGGAGACAGATTCGTGCTAACCAACCCTACAAAAGTGATTCATGAATCAGAATACCAATTTGTTGATTTGTATTGATTGTTGATTGTTGATAGACTCATAGCAGATAGTGGTACATCATTATTCTTACAGAAAAGACAACAAAGGAAGTCATTTAACCAGATTATAAATCCAGACATCTTAAGTCCTATAATTCATGTTACAATACTGGTGCTAAAACACCATCAACTGACAATTATTTTTGCCTTCAATTGAGAACTCTTTATAGGTAGGTAGAGAAGACCACTGTTTAAACATAAGTCATGCACCACAAAACTCTTCACCCTGCTTCCTCATTTCATCTCATCCTATTATGACCTCTCCATTCTTTGTGCCCCACCAGTTTTGCTTCCGCATTTAGAGGGAAATTCATAAGAGAGAAAAGAAAAAGAAAAATCAATAAATATTTAGAAGAAGTTAAGGAGGGGCCCTGCTATAAAATAGGGGGAAAGAGACAAAGCAGAAAAATAAACATAGACGCTTGAGCACTTAAACAGAGTTGGTTTTCCTTTTGATGAATAAAATGTAATTATCTTATTTATTTAGCTTGTTTATTGAGTCAATATATCCCAGACATTTGAGCGCCTACTGAAATGTGGCTGATGGAAAAGGAAAAAGGAGCTGAGATCTAAACTTGGCATAGTCAGGCTTTCTTTAATTTTCTATCAACCACTTTTCCCTAAAAAGGAAAAAAATCCAGTTTGGAATCACATTTTGAGATGTCTAACATATAC